TCAAGTGGTAACTCCTTTACTAGTCTAGGTCCAGTTTTAAGACGTTTGTTCTCCTCGAGAGCATGTGGTACGTGAACAGCCAAATATGGACACTTCAGTAGACTTTTCTGCTCTGAGGTGCGCCATGCACTCGTTTCTGGTTATTAGTTAGAGGAGCACTCAAAAGTTATACCTCTCACCTACGTTCGCGACGTTGACCTCTGCGAATACGACCCCTTAACCTTCTCGGTCGGCCAAATACGACCTCCTCCTTGGACATTGTCCAACGGACGGTTGACCCTGGTTCCCTATAGAGTTACAGTGAGGAGGACACACAAGCTAATCTATAAGCACCATTTCGTTTAAACCGCTCTTTGGTATACTGCGAAGCATTGATAGACGCGTTATCCTGTTGCAAAACATGCAACCTTCGCTGCGCTTCTCTAAGAAAAGGCAACAGAAGATATTGGAACACTGCTTGGTTCTTAATGTTCATACGCAATGATGGAACTGCAACCTCCAACTTGCCGCTGCTTGCGAAACCACCCCAGATCATCAACAGACCTTCGAAATTCCTTACCGAGAACACGAGCGGTTCACCCTCCAGTAGTGACAAAATCCATCCGGCCCGTCAAGATCGAACTCATTTCATGAGCTAAGGTTACCCAAGAAGACAGTGTGCATAAAAGTTGTTTATTTTAAAGATAGAAAATTCTCGAAAAACCGTGTCCTCCCTCTGCCCTATCCTATTTTGCCATGTTTTTACAAGCAGACTCCAATTTTGCTAACTTCTACTGAGCCTTGAAGTGAGCAGCTAATCTCAGCGTCTAGCGAGTGTTGTATTCATTGGAACGGATGAGGCGCTAAGTGGTCGCTCTCGAGGCTTCTAAATCCATTTGAGTTAGACAGACAATGAAGAATTCGACAGGTGCGGGCTAAACTTTTGTTTTTCTCAGCAGTCAAGCACGTGGATGGCATGGAAAGTAGCTGAGTATAATTATCAGGGTTACGGATGAATCTTCCAAGGCATGAAGGAGAACGACCAAATTGACGTGTGATTTCTCGATTGGAACGCCCAGTATCATGCAGAGCCCTTATTTAGACTCGTTCACCTTCAGGAAGAAGTCTGCCATGAATAGGCATAACGAAGAATGAAAGCAGCAAGTTCGGACCGAAACCGGTGTGTCGCGGTACGCGACTGTGGTCCCGGGGCACCGCGCGCTTGGGCACTGCTGTGCAGCAGGCGCCGTGGCGTTGCATGCACCGACTATAGGGGGCATGCTCCGCCTCGGGTCCCGCCTCCAGCCGGGATTACTTAAGCGAGCCGCCTCTGCCAGTCGGCGCACTTCGCTCCCTCCGGGAGGAGCGTTGTGCCGGGCGACGCAAGGAAGCTGGACGGCTCGGAGTGCCGTTGGCACTCGGCGGTATGGTCCGGCATACTGTCCGGTCCTGTCGGAGCGCTGGCAAGCCAGCGCCCGTTACACCGGAAGGACGCTGCTGGCTGCAGGCGCCAACAGTGCGCACCTTACCGCCGACGACCCGATGGATGGACGATGCGATGGCTTGGTATCTCCAAGCCCGGCAGATGATGAGGAAGTAGGCCGTCGTCTCGTTGCCGCCAATAATCGCCAATAAATGTAAGTATGTTATGTGTAGTTGTAGTTGTTGGGTTCTGGTTTGGGGAGCGCCAGGGCTGGGGCCCGACTAAGGCGCAGTAGGCTTCTCATGTGCTGTTATGTCGTGGGGTGCTAGCCGGGGCAAGAGAGCCCTCGGCCCTTGGGCTGGGAAGGCCCGGGCCGATGGTGGGTCTTGCCCCCGCGGGTTACCGCTTACCGCGACCCTTAAACCCCCCTTCCCTGGGTTAGGAACCCGTGATGCCCCGGGGAGCGGAGGCCATGCTGGGAGGGAAACCAGTGTGGTCCCCGGGAAGGATCCGTAGAACGACGTGTGCCTGGGAAAGGCCGCGAGGGCCCCGAACCACCTCGATGCGTCCTGTTTGGAGGGTTAGGAGGGCGACCGCTCCCGAACCACGACACGGTGTGAAGTTTTGGCGCCAAAATCTGATCTCCTTCAAGTGTCCACATACTTTTGAAACAAAAAAATGCTCTAAAATTTGTTTACGAAGTTAAGGCGATGCCTCATGCTCAACTTACATTGATACGCTCGACTACGAGGAGTTGAATGAGGATGATTTCATCGCACGAATTAACTCTCAATTACCTTTTCAACGTGGATTTTGAGGTGTCCACATGCTTTTGGAACGCACGTAGTGTGAATAAGTGCTCTTGCGCACTGGTGTGCGAAATCAAGGACGAGGTGGACAAAATAAAAAACAAAATAGCATAATCCTTTGAAAACTTCATGGAGGAATGGATGCAACTTCGAGGGCAGAATGCCAAGAGTCCTACGGCCATACACAAAAAATTGAGTCTCTGCGTAAAAAATCATGCGTTCCGCTTCAATCTGGAGTCCAATTGGACTGGCTTAGCAGTACGAGGGGTTGATGGAACAGGAAAGAAGGTGTGTAGTAAACAGCGAGAAATTACTGTATATCCAGTGGTGTTCCTAATTAGAGCAAGTCTCAGAGGCATTAGATTGACTTCACAAAGTGGAAGAAGGAAGATGTATTACGAGTGTGACGAATCGGAACTTACCCCCTATGACTAGAAGTACGAACACGTATCCTCAGGACCATTATCGAGCATGGTTGTTCAGATAGTCTAGGTGATACGATGTGGAGAGACACAAAGTTGCCGAGATTTTGGCCTCCACACTTGCGACGCCGATATAGTTTCTAGTCGACGTTCTCGTGTCGCTGTAGGCCTTCTTAATGTGCGTCTCTTCAAAGGTGTGTTCGACCTTGACTTAATTAGTATGGTGGATCACGTGCGAGCGCATCGAACAGCCTAGATGAGGAACTTTCGGAACAAGAAGGTATTCGGCGATGGGCGAGCCTGCTGGCCTCCACAATGGCTTACCGAGCACGTGTGGATTTTTCTGAGAGTTGTTGTAGCACATCCAGCGATTTCGAGTCGCCTAGAATGAACACGCCACAATTCCATGAAGCCAAAAATGCAGTAACGTTCACTGTTCAATAATGAAGCGTAAATATCTGCCAAATCTCAGAAATTCCTTCGTTGGCACTTATACGGACATTAAGCAGTGAGGAACCATCGGCGGTGGCACGCAAGGTAGTGCGTAGAATCCCTTATACGTATTCTGAAGCAATTCTTCAAAATAATCCCCAAAAATGTAAAGTTCCGTGCAAGTTTCAGCTTGCAGAACCAATTCCACAGTGTAAGCCATTTATATAGAATCTGAAATGCTGACCAACTCGTTAAAAGTGATGAATTCGACAAAATTGGCTCTGACCCAGTTCAGCACCACCCTTGCCCCATGGAAATCCCTTCCTTATGAAAGATCAAACAATGTTTCTTGAATATTAAGATGGCAATTTGCTTGGGAATTCTCCAGTAATCTCCTAAATGTCCATCTCTCGTGACATTCGGCGGAACGAGTGCGCGAAGTGCCATCAAATTCTGTTGCGCACCATGCTGACATTGCTCGTGGCCGTCTCGGAAACACAGCTTTCCCATCCAAAATGAGTGCATTCGCTTCCTTACTCCTTGGAGCGTTTAGTGTATCCATGACTGGTACCCAGGTAAAAACCAAAACGCTGATAATTTTTGCGTGCCGCAAACACTCAAAGTTGAAGTTCAGTGATCTAGAAATAGCGGCAGAATCATTCAGCCATCGTAACAATCATACATATTGGTAGTCAAACGAGATAATTATGAACAGGTTAACACAACCAAACCAAAATGCGTCGTAAACAGCATCTTTGAATAGTGGTCCCAATAAAGCGCGGAAGTGCTGTCTCCGTAATTTTGGCGCACCCTGTAAAGATCACCACAGATTGAGGTGGCTTATCAACCGCTTCGATCACTGTTTATGAAGAAGAGCTCCATTTCCGTTGTTTCCATTGCGTGTATCTCACAGTGTATCTGACAGTTGTGTAGTGAAACGCTCCTTCATATGTTCTCCAAATTTCATGGACCTCGATTTCGGTTTACGCACTACTTGATTTTTCCCCAATGGTCCTGCCGCGATGGCTAGAGCACAGACAATTAGAGAACGGGTGAATGCCCCAAGACTAAGCGTAAGGTTTTGAGAGGAGAGGGCCCGCGACAGAGCGCAGAGGCGGTTTAAAGGGCTGAGCTCAAGGGTCTTAGGACATCTGTCAACCGTGAGCCTTGGCGGAACAGCGCTTTGTAGTGATGTCTCGGAGCTCTCACAAGTGTACACTATCACATCATATCTTCTTTCTTTATCTTCTTCAAAAGGCTTAGTCCCGATAGGACACAAAGTGTGTGCTTTTCCAGCTACGCTGTCACCCTTTGGTTGACAGAAGCCTTGTAACCGAGTTCAAGTAGTCCGTCGGTCTTTGATTTCATAGTAGTGAGGTGTCATGGAGAAGTGGATTTCGCTCTTAACTTCAGCACACCAGTGTAGTTGGGTATCTTGGTGCAATAATTCGTAGTCAACTGCAGTAGCCACACAGAGCGTGACAACAGGGAAAAATTCTGGACCGATTTTCACCGCGATGAACTTGTTGGTTAGAGCGAAATGAAAACTAGATGAGTCTTCCTGATATTCTTGTTTAGAGAAAATGTTACCGCGGGTTCGATGCCTTGAACACTTTGCATTAAGGTCGCCCATCCCCAAGTACACAACCACTCACTAAAATTTTTGCATAGTTTCTGATTCAAAAAACTGCAAACAATCAAGTGAAGTTAATTCATTTATGGTTCCCCCATGGCTAGCTTCAGCGATACTGAGCTAATACTCAATCGAGACTGAAGGAAGTGAAACAACCCAATAAAATTAGGCGTAAGGTTACGGTATTTGCGCAGAAAGCGCAATTACACGCGTCATTGGAGGCATTTTTAAGAAACATCTTCGCCCAGTTGTTTGCTATTTATCGGTTCGCCATATGTAACGCTTTACTATTTTTGTGCGTTATGGAGCTTTCGGACGCGATCGAAGTATCAAGGGTAAACAATGTGTTCATGCGAAAAGGACCTCGTCCATCTCAAGTTGGATCTCTAGTACTAATAGGTTGGCACAGTTTAGCAAACGTACGTTCAGTTCCTATCATCTTTTTTTTAGGTCATCATTTAATATTTTCTCCTAATACGCAATCACCAACATTGGATAGGAATAATGAAGAGTTGTGGGTAAGTTTGATTTACCATTTTTTTTCTTTCGACTATCAGTTCGCTTCCCGGTTTTTTTTTGGTTTTCTGGTGGTTTTTTGTTAGCAAGTTTTTTACCTGTTGGTTTTTTATTCATTATTCGAAATACTGGTTATGAAGCTCAAATTGAAATTGGGGTAGCTTTTCGAAGTCAAGTCTATCTGATCAGTGCAAAGCGAATATGTTGGAGCCTAGGTTTTTGGCTTTGTGCATGAACAAAGCCACACATGGTTGAGAATGCAAAGACCTGAATTCTATGGTGCTTCTGTGTCAAATAGGTCTTTTCGTGGTGATTTTTAAGACCAGAAAAAAATTGTGAATTAGAACACCTCTTGGCAATATTGGAAGCGAGATGGTGGAGGAACGGTGGGGACGTAATAAGGTGTAAGTTAAGCGGTATAGAAAGTTTCGAAATGCTTAAGGCTCTTAAGAACAAATATGTCGAATCGTAGGAAGCGTCGCCATAAAACCTGTTTGCTCGGGAAGCTTCAGCTACTTATTTGCACAGAGGCATGAGTTATAAACCGCAACCTTCCTGAGCTGCAGTTGGAAGAAGTAATGTCGAGAATTGTACCTCCTTCTCCTCTCCCGTTCTCTCGCTCTGGCATAATGTGCCTCCGGGGAGGGGGGGGGAGTGTAGTCTGTCGGAAGGCCACTGGGACCAATCTCAACGCAGTGGGACGGATTCCGGAGCAAATGAAAGTTGCTTACGCAGCTCGGATTCCCACTTTTCCTTCAAGGCTTACTCCCCAAACTGAAAGTTTCGTGAATATGACGCAAGTTACAGGCTGCCTTCCCCCCGGTGCCACATTGCGCCCTCACTCTTTTTCCAAAATGAAGACTCATCCAGCTTGTGCCGGTCAGGCACCTCAATACTTCATAACTGTTCGGATAGTGTAGCACGGAAAAGCACTGCGAAATCGCAACAGCCGCTTTTCTCACCACAAGTTGCATTGCATGGTCACGCAAAACAGCGATTGCACCACTGTGGACTTGAATTGAATTTTGATTTTTGCGGCGCTTTCCGCACTATCCGCAGTGGTATGAAGTATGGGGCGAGGCTACGTGACCTAATATGACAACAAAGTGTATTATGATTAGGCTTGGCGTGGTATTGGTATGGTCACTGGGGGGTGGGGGGAGTAAGTGATTTAGAATCTCGGTCGGTGACTTGTTTGAACTTCCCGTACACCCATTCTTCAGAGTGAATGTCCTATACTAACATTTTTCATATCGTAATGTTGTTCTTGTGCGGTTACGGATAGGAAGTTGAGAGGTATGAATCCATTAGTCATCGTTCAGTTACGGAAACATTCCACCAAATAGTTCAACCTTGGTCAATTAGTGTTTCGGCAGATTTGTGGTCCACCTGAGTACTACCACATAATCATACGCGCGGAAAAGTTAACTAACGAGTATTGCAGTGAATTTCCAATGTTTGCTACAATTTTTTCGTTGAAGACCTACCCCACTATCCCTTTAATACTTTCGCAATCTTCCAGGTTTTAATAGTGATGAATAGATTGATTGGCTAGAACATTTTTGTGCTATGTTTGTTTATGTCTTTCATTTTGCTATTAAAGTTACTAACGTGTCTGAACTTTCCATGGTGACACCTTCTCCTGTACTTTTATTTCGGAAATGGCTCTCTGAACATCAAATCAGGGTTTTTAACCTACTTTTACCCACTACATATTAGCAAAACCTCGTTAAAATTATTTGGTCAATCGTGCTATCTCTGAAAGGAATATGGTTTGACAGTAAAAATGTTAGCCCATGGGGAGATCTCTTGACCCCAGATGGGGATGAACACGCTTCTCGCATTCGGTGCGGTTCTGCTATCGATTACACCACCGTTCATCGGGCTTAGTATATCAGCACTCACACCAACCGGTTAACCAACTCTAGCCAGATATAATTTGAGTTGCTTTTGAATGTTCAGTGCTTTCAGCTACTGTTGGCGAAGAGTTTCGCCCAATATGTTTCTCGCTTCTTTTCGCAGGTGTATTCCAGCACCTATAGCAATGTGCACAACTTGTTAAGGGCTAGCTGTGTACCTTTGTGCTGCTAAAGGTACTTAGATGCTTCGTTTTGGGAAAAATGAATCTTAGACTTGATTCCACTCAAACTTTTCTAAGGTGGAAACCTCATGATGGTTCTTGTTGATCCTAGAAATAGGAAGAGATTTGCAATGGTAATGTCGTCAAGTTACAATGCAAGCATGTGCGCATTATGGCGTGGTTTCAACCTTTGTGGCATCGGTACCTTTCGTGATGAGGGACTCTTTGTAGCCGTTTGCTTTTGCCGCAGATTGATACTCGAAGGATGGCAGAGAAGCAAAATGCAACGTAGTCTTCTTGAATATAAATTTTTTGGGGTAGCGCCTGTTGATAAGTTCGCAGTTACGTTTCACTAGGTAAGAAGCGGCTGTGGAATATAACTTAATGTATTTAACGAGCTATTTTCGAGTTCATGGCCCTGTTCTCACGCTGAAAAACCATGTACGCAGAGTTGTTTTGGTCGGCAACTTTTCATGAGCTCACAGCAACTACGCAAATATTTTCTAGCATTGATTTACATGTCTGATTTTTTTTTGTGATGCGCATGTTACTTGAGTATAATAGTAACCTTATTTAAGCTTCTTCACCGTGCCGTTGATCGGGTTTTTATTGAGCCTCTCGTCAAGGACCAACCATCAAAAGGCGGTCTTTTATCGTTGAGGTGTAAGAATTTTATGGTGCGTTGCAATATGTTTTTTTCTTTTTATGCTTACTTTTAATACTCATGCTTTCCAAGGGAAGATTCCTTGATCAGTTTGGAGATAGGACACAGGGCAATATTCCTAGTGAAAGGCAGTCAGGCCTCCTTAGGGTCCGGGCGATGTGTGATTCGCAGCAAAGTGTGCACCCAGTGGCCTAACAGGGCCATACCCGCTCTGCTCGCGCCTCTGCACGCCAACGATAGGTGGCTGCTCCTCGCCTGTCATATAGCAAAGAAAGCGTTAGCGTTGAACAGGGCAGCACCAGTGCTAATCGCATCAGTGCGGAAACCAATAGGCAAAAAAGTGATTCCGTTCTCCTTTACCGCTGACCACCGCTGCTTTCCATCGAAGAATTCGCATTTGGTAGGCTTTATCTAGGAAGCTTTGCAGCTATCGACTTGAAAAGCCTCAATCGGTGAGCATTCTACTTATTATTCTTTTCAGGTCATAATTTTCGAAATATCGATTTGGGAAGATTGCCAAGCTGCAGCGCGGTCGATAGAGACTTTATCTAATATCAGTGAGTACGGAACGTCATTCGTACATTGCAGAGCTTTGTGTTTCAGAAACCCCGATGTCGATAATTTCTTTCTAGGCGGTTGTTCTCACGATTACCCGTTCTATTATCGATGCCCCTTTCAAGTCCTGGATGATGGTTGGAAAGCGTTCGATTCCAGCGAAGAGTTTGCTCGTTTAATCGTTCGCTGTGGTGACGCTTTTCGCATCAGTGACGTTAATGATGGATTTCAGGTTCGTTTATAGCCTATTTCTACACATAATCTGATAAATAATTGGGATGTTCGAGAATCAGTGTGTTTTAATAGAACGCGTCACTAGCGGCTGCACAACGGCTGGGGCGCATATCAGTGACTACTTTGCATCACTAAATAATAGATTCTATTGAGCAAAACAAATCGACTTTTTCCTGGTGCCGAATCACAATTTTTATAGTCACGGGTTTAGAGTTGTTTATGAGCACCAGAGCATCAAACTCACGAACTTGTGGGAGCAGCTCTGAGCTCGAATGTGTTCTTTGAAAACAGAATGCTTTCCACGAAAACACTGGGTTGTGAACAAAACTTTCGCCCCAGACAGGATTAAATGGTGCCCCGATGGCGTAACTTGTAGCGCACTTGCCCGGTAATCGCCTAGAACAGCACTTTACAAAACAAAACAAGTCAAGAGAATGCTTGTGTCATTTTTTGAGCAAACTAATGTAAAGTTTCTTATTCAAACCATTTCATTCAACTAGAATTGCCCAATCGCAAGCTAGCCCTGTCGCATTTACCCCGTTTCAGGGGGACCATTGTTCTCACTTTCTCAATCGTAGGTCGTGCTCAGCTCCGCGCGTAAGAAAGGTAGCAGGCCCTACCACGACTTGGGATCAATATTGGGGAGAATACGGAGACTGTGGGATCTAATCCCTCTGTTTCTTTCTGGGCCTGTGTCAAATATGTTCCTAAGTTTTGTCCGACGCGGGGACATCTGGTAATGAAAATTGTCAATGAAAGGAAACACTTGAAAACTGTAACGCCTTCCAATGTTTACAAAAAGTAAACGACAAAACACCTTAGAAACCTTAATACA